ATATTGATAACTATATGTTACCTATGTCACCTATTTACCAGTGCAATAACTACACCTGTATAATTTTTTATTTATTTTAACTACTGTCAACAAAATCAACACACTGATAGTATCAGAAATGCTTATACAAATTTTTAATAACGACTAGTGTGAACTACGACGAATTAGAAAACATGGCAACAATAAAATACTGTATCGTTACTTCGCTAATGTTTCACCGAGAATGAGAGTGCAATAAATATCGGAATACGGCTATATTCATTTTGCTGTTGGATCGGGGTGCAGCATGAGAAATGAAGCGTTCAATCAAATATTCCCTTACTGTGGCATGTTGAGTGCTCAATCTGTATTTAACGAGAAGCCCACACCAGAGCGTTTTACTTGCCGTTACGATCCCGATATAACAATTCACTCGGCAGCGACACAAGAAGAAATTTCACTCCAAAAACTTGTTCAATTTTTGATCATCGTGGAATTTCTTAATAGCCTTCAGGTTTTTATACGAGTCATAGTTTATTTACCTTTTAGGGTATCCTCTATTATAACGTTAATATCTAAAGTTTGTTCTTTTGATTTTTGGTCCACAGTTTTAGTTTACGTTTTATTCAATTAAAAATTGATCAAGTTGAAAATTGATGACAAGAATTATTTCAAATATTTTATTTTTTTATTTTTATAGTTTCGAGACCATTTAACTTTGTTTTCAATGAAAATTATAAAAGTAAATCTACATAATATTTAATTTAAAAACATGTAGTGTTTGTGTAAATTAATTTGTGTTTTTAAACACCACGTACAGTAAAGTGATACATTTTTTTTTCAATTAAATTACTAAATATACATAGTAATATTCTTTGCATATAAATCCATTATGGAGTGTTTATTTGCTAAGTTGTTTTTATCAGAATTATCGTTACGAATAAATAAGTAGTGACTAAACTCTTGAACACGTTTCCACTAAGCCATGCCAAGCAGAATTGAATATAGTGAACTTGTGGGCATCGTGTCTTAATATTTTTTTATCTACAATAAAATTTAAAAAACTGACAATATGTGATCACAGAACCTATTAAAAAAAAAAAAAAAAAAAAAAACGGTTAATGAATAAATATAGTATTTTTAATTATTATGTACTCATTATATTATTGAATCGTTTAAATCTAGAAACTGAATGTTTGCGAATTTGCGATAAATGAACATGCACAAATATAATATTATCAAATAAACATAAAAAGAAAAAAACGAATATTTCTTCAAATATCGTATTGACCGACAGATGATATTGCGTCAAACCAAAACAGAATCGTCAAAATCTATGGATTTGTGATCGAGGTATAGTTATTTGTTAGAGAATCAACCACATAATATAATACACATATTTATGTATAATATTTGATTTTATTAACCAAACTTGATCTGCATTGACATTATGTTTATTTAATAGCACGCTGACTCCAGTGAATGTGTATACAAGAAAATAAAAAATAAATAAATTATACAGGATGAGCTATCGAGGTTAGGTTAGGTTGTTTTGTGTTAGCTACGTGAAAAAAGGAAAACATGGTAGCTCGTCCTGTATAATATTATACTTAACATGTACGTGGTGGTTAGCTGCTAATTTTGCGTGGCAATATAATATAGAGGAGACCCGGCGGCGACCGTTGTTTGTTGTTTAGGACAGACTGCACCGCTGGCTCTCATTCCTGCCAAGGAGACGACCCCACTGGGACGAACGGGTTGGCGAGTCAGACCTTTTAGCGTAATATACGTTTTTATTATTGTTGTAATACGTGTGGTGTTAGTTATTCTGTAGAAATATTCGCTCGTTTAAACACGCGGGGACCACCGCCACTACGCCACGTTTGATTACAAATGCATACTGACCACCAAAGTCCTCTACTGCTTTAATAAATAATATTATATTCAGGCGACACTTTTTCAGTCAACCACATATGATGAAAAATAAAAATAACTTACATTATACTTTAATTATAGTAAGGTATATTTAATCACAATGCTATAATTATAAATATCTCTAATATTTTATTTGTATCAACCAAATTATGTAAAATATATTCAGTCATTTCTGAACTCAAAGTAATCTACTTACACAAATGAATATATCTAATGTGTAATCGCGCCAAATTCACAAAGTAAATAATTCAATTTTATCTTATTATTGTAATATTTATCTAATATTAACATAATGACCATCTTCATCGAGAAATATAAGTAATACAAAAAAATATAGTATATAAATGTACTAGGGTCATGAAACCTTTACATTGCAATTGCGGAAGCAAAGAGCTTAAAGTCTGTATACTTGTTTATATCCTCCTGAAAATTTCACGTAGATATATGATATAATAAAAGACGTATTATAGTGTAAGAACTATAAATTATTTACGTAAAGATAAATAAAAAAAAATTAATCTTGTTTTATAAATTTATTTTAAAATTTGTTTTTTGCATAAAATATATTGGATGATATGCTTCATTAAGTAGGGTTTTCAATACGCATAAAAAATGACATCTATTCAAAATAAAACATGTAAAATATGTTCTCATCTTGTCCGAAACACAAAATTATTGAAATTACTGGAACAATTTATATGGTATTATTAATGTAAACCATTCAATGAATATTAATAAAAAACACACTTGGACGCTATTCTTGTATTATTTTTGAATATATTATAAATTATAACTGCTTTTATGATGATTTTTCTAGAACTCAACGACTTGATAACAATAAGTCAACAGTGAACAATTACAAAATGTATACTTTTTCATATTATTGTGATATAATTATATAGTTAATCTCTCATTTTACCCTGATACACCTTATGAAGTTATTAAAAAGTTTTCGCGACCAAAGATTTGGTATTTTCATCACCACATGCCGATCTCGCCGGCAGAGAATCGAACAGTCTGAGCGTTATGCATACTGTTACTAGTGTGGTCGTTAGCTAAAGCGTAAATTGCATCCGTCGACGAGTTATGATCATATTATTATCGTTTTTATATTATGTTAAATTATTATGATACAGTCCAAGAGCCGTTCGCGTATATACAGTGGTGTGCCGTAAAGCATTTCGGCGATCCATACAACGCGCACCGTACCTAACACTGATGACGACGCCACCATCGGTGCGTATTAAACTTTCCAAAGTCGTAACTATCGTTATTATTGTTCACGGTCGTATTTGATATACGATAGGTCACAGTATCGGGTCGCTGTACGTGTGTTATATACCATAATATTATATTATTATAAAATATATATACGTAAAACTACTCGGCTATATAAACGTATTATTCGCATCGACCGATCACGTACCACAGCCACCGCGTGTGCATATTATACTACAACAATCGTGCGAACTTCAAGCGAAAGTATGACCCTGTTTTATTGTAGGTATATAAACCTACATCGAACGTGTGTGATATATTTCGAATTTATCAAGACTCAAAACAATTCAAACTTTATGGTAAATGAACGTTGACAAAATATGAAAAATTTCGAAATCTATGACTGGAGAGAAAAAAATAAACCTGTGCGTATAAAGGTTTAAATTTGTTTTTTTTTTTTATATATATATTTTATCAAACGATATGCTTTTGAGAAGTGAATACACTCATAATCCTTTTATATTATATTATACAGCACGTAATCGAATATCACCGATATTACTGAATATAATAATAAATTATATAGTATTAGTAATATGAAATCATATAATAATATAGTTATAGTATATTTTATAATATAACTATCCTTATCGGGTCATGAGAGGAATCGCGATTACGAAACGCAATTCAATTTTGAAAAATGAAAAAAATGGTATCAGAATTTGATTAAAATTTAATTTAATTTTCTAAATTCGACTACAATTTAAGTTTTCTTTCTTTCTTTCTTTTTTTTTTTTTTTTTTGTATAAAATATAAGTTTATGAACGTAAAATATATGTTTAAAAAATACTTTCAAATTAAGTATTAATAAAACTTATAATTATCAATAAATAATAAACAATTAAAATATTATGATATTATTATCAAAAAAATATCCTTTCTTTCACTGCACTAGTGTACTCATAAGTCATAAATCATAATACATAACCATTATGCTGTGTTCTATTAATTTATTATCAATTTTAATTTCTATATATAAAAATAACATAATATGTTTGTTGCATTTTGATGTTAAATTTAAGTCTTAAAGTATTTTAATTCTTAGTAAATATGAAAAAAAATATTTTTATGGTACCTACATATTATTCCTAAATTCTTAGAAAAAATTGTAGTTATCTACGAAAATAAACTATTTTTTTATTTTTTTATTTAACTAAATTTTTGTGTAAAGTTATATGTAAAATTATAAATTTATGAAGACTAAATATTTTAAAATTTAAAAATAGTTAATTATTCACCACTATTCATATTATTTTAACAATAGTTATACTAATAAGAATCATTGAAAAAAATAAATCAAAATTTTCTGTTTTAAAATATTAAATAATTTTACCAAAACCCTTAATGTTGATAAAAATTGAAATATTTAGTTAAGTAAATATATAAATAATAAATTAATCGTGTTTTATTAAAGTGTAACGTTTTATTTTGCTAATAACTAATTTGATTAATTAATTAAAATGCAACGGCGTTATAGTAAGTACTAAATCTTAACATACTACTCGTATATTATTTTATATACAAAAATATTCCACAGTATGATTCATATTTTTAGAACTATGCAATTAAATTATAATTATTATAATATTCAAGGTTATCTGATTACACTAATTTTAAATGAAACTTCTTCTATAAGAAGTCAGTTGATACTAGGTAGTAAAATATATTTTATAGGTAATATTGAATGAAAATTGAAATAAAGCAATATATTTTAAGTTTTAATATTTTTATAGAGTTTATGTTTATCTTACAAACTGCTTTTATAGTATACAATATTACAATTAAATACATAATCATATTATACTCACCATATTTGGTTATTAAAATAGCATCAACGCATCTTTCAAATCTGCAACAAAATATTATGCACGTCAATGAATAATTTATTTTTTTTAATATTTTGATGATTATATATAATAAATATGTGATAAAATATTAAATTTATTTTTTGAAGAGAGTTGATTTGTTATTGTTTTCTACTACAGTCGAGGGTATAGAAAACGCGCCTGTATCATTCGCAAAATATATCATAACACAAAATATTTTTTCTTTTTTTGTCTTTACTAGGTACCTAGTGTGATTGAAAAAAAAAATCATCTAGGAAACCATGTAAAATAATGTAAAAACCATTTAAAATGAACGCACCGTGCTTCAGAAATATAGTATTAAACCAATAATTGTAATAAATTAATAGTGTTCGTTTGAAAATAAAATTAAAATTTTACTCGCCTGATTTATGTTGGACAGTTGTCAGTCATGACAAGGCTTGCAACATTTTTTTCAGTTTAATTTTGGTTCACCATGATTCTGGTTATACTTTACGATAGGGTAGATGAACAGGTACGAATATAAAATAGGTGGGAATTGGACATTGGACATTGTCTAATGTGACAGATGTAGTATTGGGGTAAAGGAATTCGAACCAAAAAGAACGATTCGGTTTCACCGATAGTCCCTCTATCGTTATAACCGACCGACCTCTCACCGCAATACATAATTCATTTGAACGATCCGCCGGAAGTGTCAGGGAGGGTATGGAAGTGTCGGCATAAATTTTTCCGGCTGTCAAACAGTTTGTGTCTGTTATACCTACTATGGCGGATGTCCGGATGGATTGCCATGTTTTTTGAAACTTTGACTATATCTACCAGACTAACTGTTTTTTATTTATTTTTTAGTGTTATAAGAATTTTATTTTATGATTGTTTTCAAATGATTTTTTGACGCGATAACTTCTAATATAAAGTACTATAAATCCATTCTTCTTCAAAAACCATTCTTTAATAAGATTGTGGAAATTGATAGACGAATCGTTATTAATTTAAGATAAATTACCATGTTTTTGGTGTAAACAAAATAATAACACGTTTGTTTAATATTATTAATTTTTTATAATATTTAATGATTAAATTATTTATCAATGAAATAAAAAAATAATATTATTTTTATTATAATCATACTGCTCTTACAGTTTTTACAGTTTTATAAGTCATTATTATTTATTACTCATATAATGTACTAATGAAATTATTTTTAAATTAAATTAAATTAAACTTGGATAGCACTTAAGGTTAAAAATTATTATATTATTATTTTTATCATTATTAGGCTTATTATTAATTAAAATTTATTTAAAGTTCTACGTAATCTTATTTTTATTTTAAAAACATACAGTTTAAACTATAAATTTAGTAAATATAATATGTGATAATTTAGGAAAAATGCAAGTTTTTTTAATTTATTGTTTGTACACATAAAAACACTAGGATTTTATTTTTATAAAATTCAATGAATAGAATACTTATGCACTATATAAAAACTACACGCATAGATATTTTACTATAATAACTGAATTTTTGATGTGATTTTTTTTATTTTCATGAAATATGTGATTAAAATTTGGATTAAATTAAATAGTGTGGCACTTTAACTTTATAACTCACAAAAAAGATTAACACCTATAACATGATCCGTAAGTGAAAGGATTAATATTTCAAAACTTAAATACCTGTTATTGACATATTATTTACAATAATAATTATTCTAATATATAAATATTACAAATGTTGTTTATACACATAGAAAGAATATTCTAAAATTGTAAACTTATAAAGTTTTTGTATTATAAGCGTTGCACGTCATATAGAATATATGATACTTACGTAACTTGATAAAAATAAGTAAAGTTTATAAGTTAAGTGTAATTGTTCGACTTAAAGATGAAAAAGAAAAAATCACCACCAAATAATTTTAAATGGATATGAATTCCAACAAAAATCTAAAAGAATGTATGTCATTTTTTAAAAACCACACTTCTATAATCCATTTCGAACTTTTTTCTGAATAGCATTCTTTTTTTAAAATTATTACTTTCCAATAAAAAAGTTACCATTCATCTATTTTACCTTCGATGTCAAAATTACATTAGATACAATAAGATAAGTATTACATATTTGGATGACAAAGAAAAAGGTATAAAAATAACAAGCTGTGTTTTTCTTCAAAAATTTACCATTGTAAAAATGTCCGATAAAAACTTTCCAAATCACTCAATGTATAACTAATATTAGATAAAATTTAGTAAATATAAAAAGTCATTTAAGTTCAATCGTGTCATGAGTTTTTTGAAATATGACATTAAAATTATGTAAACTTTAAAAATAATATAAATTGTTGAATGGTGATATGTTTAATATGATTTAATCGAAAAAATAATTATTTATTATTAATTTGATTTTATTCTTTTAAAAATTAATTTGTGCTTTATAATAATATATTATTATTATAAGTTATTGAAAACTGTAGGTTAAAATAATAATTTAATATTTATAAAATATGTTCTCAACAAATTATCCATTAATACTATGAAACACGTGATTGTCATGCATTACAAAACTTTTTAAATATTATTTTTTCATAATAATGGTAAGTCAAATATAATCCAAAGTTCTTATCAAAAATTAATAATTTTATTTAAGATATTGCAAAAATAGAATGATTAATTATACGACGAAAGTGACCACATCATCATCAGCCTCTAATCATTATACATGTTAATGATATTCAGTAAAATTTAGAAGACAAATTGTTATAACTAGGTACTCTCTTATATAGTTTTTTGCACATTTATAATTAAAATTATAAATAGAATTTATTTTGTTTATTAATTATTATAATTCTATTCTGATCGGAGCAATTAATTTACCTGTATTATAAGTTTTTAAAATGTATTATTATGTTTGTCATTATTTTTGGAGTGTTAAAGATTTTACATTTTGGTGATGGTTTCTGGTAGAAAATTTGATCTATTTAGTACTTATAGGAGGAGGGGTTAAATGTAAAAAAAAATAAAAAATGATCAGTTAAGCGCCGTATTTTGTTAGTATTTGAAGTATCACATGAAAAAAACTCACTAATAAAAAAAAAGTATTTACAACATATTATAATTTAGTCAATTTATTTTTTAAGTAAAAAAAGTGCATCAAAAATACTTTTGATCATATTAATAATACAACTGTACTATAAAATAAATAATATTTATACACCTACATACCTATCATAATATGATATCATTATTCACTATGTTACAACAAATTTTACATTATTAAAATATAATATAATATAGTGAAATACATAAAACATATATAACTAATATATGCAAGGGAATAAATAGTGATTCCGATCACTATCTGGTAATATAACATTTTTAATGAGCTAGAAGAAGAAAAACACTAGACGTTAAGAACTACAAAAATTAACACTGATAAAACAAGAAATCCAGAAGAAGCCAAAACATACCAAATTAAATTGAATGATTTACTTAATCGAGGAAGTTTGCTAAAAAATTACATTCAAGTATGAGTTAAGATCAAAAAAATAGTGAATGAAGCCGCAAAAAACTTACAAGTCTTGAAATTGAAGAAAAATAACAAGTGTTTTAATATAGAATATTATGAAGCAATTAGAAAACATGTTAAAAAACGCTACATACATAGACCATACAGAAATATCAGAATGCAAAGGTCCCAAGTTCCTAAAATATTAAGACAGAGTAAAAGATTAGCTGAAAAAAAACTTATAAACAATATCAAAACATACAAAAAGAATCCTAGATTTTACTTTTTCTTGAGAAATATAAGTCTGTAAAAAAAAATTTACTAACTAAAATCGTCAATAATAATGGATAACTAATAAAACTTTATAATAAACACTAAGAAAATCGGACTACACTTCATGACATTAAAAAAAAAAAAAAAAAAAATTAAATAATATACGAAATAACATAATAATTTTATTAAATAATAATAATTATCATAATTATTATTATATCATAACATAACCCTACAAACAAATATCCCTATACTGGTACCAGAAATCATAAAACCCACATTAGATGAAGTGAAAACTATTATTAATACTCTAAAATTTATTAAAACTCCAGGATAGGAAAACATAAATTCAGAGTTAATTTAACTGGTGAGCAAACATTTAACTGAAATACATAAACTAATTTCTATTATTATATGGATTAGAGAAAATAAAACAATGGACTAGAATGGCAATTATCTGTCCGATCTTCAAAATAAGAGATCCGGCAAAAGTCAAAAACTATCGAGGAATCTCTCTTTTAGATAAAAGTTACAAGTTTCTGTTTCGAAAATATTTACTAAACTAAAGAAAAAAACAACTGATATTATCAGAGAATACTAAAACGGTTTTATAAGAGGGAAATTAAAAATAAACCATTTATTTATTATTTAATAAATTATAAAAAATATTATGAATATAATAATGAACTTCACATGACTTGTGTTGATATTACTCAAGCTCATGACAGCATAAATAGAAATAATGATAGATTTCTTTGATAAATTTAGGTACTCTGAACAAATTAATAAAAATAATTAAAATGTGCAACTTTAACATAGTATGTTAAGTCCGATGTAAGCGGAGCTATCCCTTAATTTTGAAGCAAAGTTGGGAGATAAAGTAGGGAGATGCCCTCTCTTCTATATTATTTAACCTTGCTTTTGAAAAAGACCGAATTATGGAGCTTAATGAAAATGCGACGATATTGATGTATGTGGATGACGTTGTCATACTAAGAAATATTCTCCAGGAGGTAATATACACCATGGAAAAATTAAATGCACCCAGTCAGAATATGAATCTTATTATTAAAAATACATAATAGTGATATATCAGATGACCATTAAGAACGATTTAATAATCAAATGGTTTGATTCAAACCGTACACCTTTGAACATGTCGCTGAATTTAAATATTTAGAAGTGAACATCAATGATAAAAATATATGAACAGTAAAGTAAAATTTAATATAAGTTTGTA